TCTTGAATGTAACAGTTGATGATGACACTAATGCAACAGTGGCAACTTCACAAAAAGATGGAGGATCGCTCCCATTCTTTCTGACAGGTGAGACAAATTCATCGATGGATGGATAAAATTTATGGATTAGCAGGACATAATGGGAGACTTTGAGATGCATGATGGCAGCAGATAATCCGGCCCTTTTCCACAGTTTTGCGCGTACTCTAAACTAACACGCATGCCTAGAACTGTACGCGCATGTCCACATCTACCAAAAAAGACTGTTGTGTCTGCCACCACCATGCATTTCAAAGTCTTCCATTGTAAGTGTAGGGAAAATGACTTTTCTTACAGGAGTTGCCTTTGTTTTGATCCAAGCAGTGGCTCATCCAAAGGCCAAAGTGCTAGTTACAAATTACTAGTTATAACTTGCCATTGATATTTTTTCTTATTCTGGGTTTTCTGTTCTCAGTGAAATTTGTCCTTGGAAATGGGAAATTGGTGTCAGCATCCTCCAATGGCTTCTACGTGGATGAAACCCCAGCAGAACTGGATGTGTTCTTTTATGTAGATCTCAGTGTTAGCCGGTACAAGCCGACGTGGTACCAGTCGTCAGAGTCTACCATTAGTTGTCTGTGGAGCTTCATTGACATGGAGAGCTTGGTCAAGGTTTGTCAGTGGATTCTTATCGGCAAATCAGACACTGTGTTCATGCAGTTGTCTGTGTTGCATTGTGATTTGGATCGCATGTGGGCTCCATGCATGTAATGGGAAGATCAGAGAGGAATTTTTATCAGGCAACAAATCACCGAGGAGGACTTGTGTTTCTTGTTCCCACAATACAACACTCTCCAATAGACCAAGCACATATGGTGCTCCCCTCTGATGACGAAAGACTGTATTGTTTTCTTTTCTGTATGGTTGGATGATGAAGTTTTGGTGACTCCTTTGACTTATCACTTTGAACGTCCCATAAATTTTCATTACAATATGATACAAATCCTTCATTGGGGCTGCTCCAAGATGTTTACCCGGGGCTTATTGGATTAATGCCATGATAGATTTTTCAGGGATTTTTAATGACCCCTAAATACACCACTGGTCTATGGAGATAATTTTATGGGCCTTTTCACATATTCTTAGCACAGCAGAATACCCAACAGTACATGCACAGCTGAAGTTGCCAGATTTGTATGAACTACTTGACAGTGGATATATATGTGCTGAAAAAACCATCACAGTGTAGGTTCATGGTAAATTTAGGGAAAAGTGGTACATTAATGATTTTTGTTTAATGGGTCAAGATGGTCATACATCAGGTATCACTATGTGCATAGATCTCACAGCAACCAGACCTAAAATGATTTCTTTCAGGAGCATTACTGGGCCATAGGAACCTCCAGAGGGGCCAGAGACCTGCAAGACTTTGTCAACGTTGGGTTGAACCAGACAGCTACCAACAGTGATCTGATGGGATTACTGCACCACAACACCACGTACTATGTGACCCTGAAGGCTGTCAATGGAGCAGGCTTGGAAACAATAGTAGAGTGTGACGGTAGGTAGACTGACATGCAGACAAACAAACAACATAACCTTAATTTGACAGATTACTGCATCATAGTGGTTTAATACTGTGTGACCCGAAAGGCTATCAGTCAAGCAAACTTGAAAATAATAGACAGAATAATGTGCAAAGAAACCAACCAATTGGTTTACATTGCTATGATGGGATAATAATACCAAAGGACTACAGATAGTAGGTATTTAATGGAATTTGATTGGAGAATTTGATGATAGCCAAGTTAATCATAAATTGATATTCTGTCATGCTGACAAACACCAAGGTAGTGATTTTGCTGCTCAGCAGTGCTACATAATGTGGCTTTGAAGGTAACAACAGGCTTCATGGCTGCTAGGAAGTGAAAAAGCCAAATTGCAGTTTCCAGACAGATCCAGAGACCCCAACATTATAAAGAAGACTTCAATGAAACATTATGTTTTCATTTCCTAGGAGTCACGGTTCTGCTGGAAGAGCCCACTGCAGATGATGTCAACACCACCACCATGTTTAGTGAGAAGTTTGAGGAGGAGGTGTACCCACCTGATGTGCAGAAAAGTGAGGACCCAACCAAGACTGGGACCTCCTGGTCCAAACCAGAGGATGAGTCCATCATTAGCTATGGTAAGTCAGCTTGCAGTAAAGGCCGGCTTGTTTTACTTTCTTCAAGGTTGCATTCCGGACAACGTGTACCATGTAAGCATTAACTAGACCTAGGCCTCTCTCACAGCAAGTAATTTTTGTAAGGGTGGCCTAAGGTTGCAGAAATATCGGCCTTAATTTGTGCCAGTTTTTTGTCTCATGTTTTTTACGTCATTCCTACAGGACTACTATCACACTCATGCACAGGGTCTTAGTTTACCAGAAACTGGTAAGCAAATCATAAGAGTGTGACATAGAAAGAGAGGTCTTTGAATTGTTTTCATGAACCAAGTTGGTCATAGGTAGTACAGGAAAGAGTGTGTCTTGCACACTTGCAGAAATTATGAAAAAAAATTAGATGACCCTTTTTTACCAGTTCTTTTCCTACCTAACATAATCTGTGCCACCTTCTACATCTGTCCGTAGAGTACTGTGTGAGTAGTTCAGCTGAGCTTCTCGATGACGTTGTTCCCTGCATGGTGGTTGGGGGCAACTCCTCTGGTTCCGTGGCCATCGAGAATGGAAAGATCGTAGTCCAAGCCGGTGACAGGGAGGAAAGGTTCAACATCACTGACTTCCAGATGCCAAAGGAGTCCACTCACCAGGTGAAGACAGGTGCAAAATTCAACATGGAGCCTGGCAAGTAAGTGTGCAAGACTGAACCCATTGGGTGGTTGATATATTAGAGACATGTTTACAGTGGATGCAAATGATAAAGGTATTTGTATGTATGCTAAACTCCAAACGCAATAGCAGTTCTGATTTTTCAGGCATCCTAGCCGACAAACTCATAACCAGTGGAAACTCTTGGGTCAGCTTTGATGTGAATGATATCATTTTGATGTCAAAACTCAGTCAGCTACACTGCCCTATTATTATACATGTAGGCTGAACAAATCAGTGATGAATCTTGGTTTTAAGTTGTGGGGCGATATCACTGAAGAATTTTTTTCAACAATAATAGAGTCATCCTCTCTCCTCAGGGAAACTGCCAATACCATTGCTTAAGAACAGGCACTTTCAATTTCTGTTGAAAAAAAGAAACAGCAATATGTTTTGGGGTGGGGGGCATTGCAACCTCATCCCCCCGCCAGATACACCATTGTTCTAACTTTATATATGGAGCTGGGGGGGGGAGGAATGGCCTATATTTAATACATAGATGATGTTAGGTAGGAGTTGTCTTCAAGCTTTTCTTTTCTTGACACACAGGACTATACTTCAGTCACTCTGGTGTGCTGACAGAAACCAACTTTCTCACCCAAATAATTTAAATAATCTTAATACAAACTTATTTTAAACCAATTGTTCAAATTGTAATACATCTCCAGCAGTGGTTCACTCAATTCAAGTTGTGATGGCTAGTTTTCTGTGAAGTCTTACAGAGTGTCTTGTGATTTGATTTTCATTCCAAAGTCTATGAGGTCACCCAAGGCATGAGCACGAATGCATTGGTTCATGCAACTGTTTTTGGCTATTCTAGATGTCTACATACCTCGATGAGGATGTGTAATGCAGCTCAGTTGTGTAAGATTGTGCCATCAGGAACTACTATGGTGTTAGGTTAGTACAAACCTTGCTGTGCCTATTGGCAAATTGTCATAGGCTGAGCTCATTACATATTATGTTGAATAAACTTCTGCTGAAACGACGGCTCCTCTTCAGAAACACTTATTACCACACTCATTTTGTCACAAAGGAGAAATGATTTTGGTAAAATATAGAGAT